TCAGCAATGGCAAAGATAGCACGAGATGAACTCTTCAATGCTTCTTGGTACTGAGTGAATTTGGCAAATTCATCTACAAAAATTGTAATGGTCTACTCAGAAGATGAGATAGGTATAGCAGTAGTAGTTACGATATGAGCTGAGTGAGACTTTCTAAGATTTATTGAGTAATTTTCGGCACGAGTATTTGGTATGACTCGGCTCATGACAGTAGCAGCATGCAAGTCCCCCTTCATTCTGACTTCGATTGACCTGACTACTGGTACCTCCGCCTCGTGTATTACCTCGACTATTGCGACTGAGAAAAGCACTAGAAGGATGAGCAGGTGAAGCAACAGAAGCAGTAGTATCTGTGCAAAGTACTCTAGTAAAAGTTTTTTGCAGTGATGAAATCTTGGCACTGGAGAGAATCTGGGATTTAGCAGTTTGAAACTGAGGACTAAGACCAACTAGAAAACTCATTACAGCCATTTGTTCTCGCTGAGCTTGCTGAACTTTCACATCCGGACTAAAAGGTAATAAGACATTCCATTCTTCACATGTCTTTTTGAAATTCATAAAATAAACCTGAAGAGACCGGTCTTGTTGTTCAGCATGGTAAAAACCCTTATAGACTTCATAAATATGTGACTTATTCCCTTTCCCAGAGTACATAAATTTCAAATATTCCATTAATTCCTTAACATACTCACAATGATTAATTAGACTGACTATCTCAGTGTCAATGGAATTACAGATTTGTAAGAATAATCGGGCATCATCTCGTAGCCATGTCTGACTATTATCCTTTGGTGGATCTTCAATTAGATGATTGTCTATAGAAATACTCCGCAAATAAATCCGAACTATTTTACACTAATATAAATAATTTGGACCAACTAACTTATGCTTCGTGATTTTAGACATCACTGGAACAACATCAGTCAAAACGAAATTCTTTTGCTCGGCCATAAGGATAAAACACAATATCCAAATAACAAATTAAAACCCAACAAATAACAGCCTAAATCAATAGGTCCAACGCCAAACACAATCCAATCGCAATTGAAACGAAGAACCAATGACTTAGCCCAAATCCAAATCTCAGGTCCAAAACAAAATACCCACAACTCCCTATGAAAAGAAGGTCCAAATCACTATAGGGAAGAAATCACGACACCACGCAATCGACTTCCCAGAGACTCAGAAACCACGCAATCGGCCTGCCCGGAGTACTGTGCAAATCCGTCGCACCTATACGCCAACGACGCCACACGATGACGAAGAAGTAGCCCAACCTGTCATGCCAGAATTGTGCAAATTCTTGCATACCACAATGTCGCGCGTTGACTGTCTGTCAACCGTGACCATCGCGTGAGGCTGAGTTAAATCAACACCAACGATTCAGCAAAGAAAATGGGTACTCTCTGATACCAAGTGAAAGAGGTTTAAGAAAGAAATATTTTCATTCTATTCTTTGAACAGAGACGATAAAAATATATATACATCTAGATTTCTATATTAGGAAACTATATACAAAATAAGAATCTCTATGAATCCCTATAATTATGCCTAATTTACATCCCGTAACACTAAAAAAATAACTTTTTATCTAATGAGATTCAATAAAAGTTGAACATTTAATAAAAAGCAAATTTAATTTAATAAAATATGTGGAACGTTTTGGAATCATATCTTTCGTCAAATCATTAATAAAAATTAATTCTAACGTGCAATAAAATGAATACTAATTAAAAATTATAATGTTGCTTATAATTGAGTCTAAATATAAAACAATTAATCAATTTCTTTTAAAATTCCAATGTTTCTAAAAATTAAAATAATTTATGACAATGATCCATTGGTCCAATATTACATCCATCCACCATCGTCCAGTATGCTAATTTTTACCTAAAATTTGTAAAGAGGGATGAATATAACGAATTATACTTAATGAGATGCTTGCTACTCCACATTCAAATCAAACATGAAATTATGCATAAATTCTCTTAGCAACATAAAATGAGAATTATTACACCATGACAAATAATAGTTCTAACAAGCACTGCAAAATAACATGAAGGCTAACTGATACCATTAATATGCCTTAAAATATATCATGATTTCTCCCAAAGGAGCTCTGAACTGAAGTAATTAAATTCACACATAACAACGTATTTGAAAGATGCGGAAAAATCATTAATAACACTGAGCACCTTACTTTTTGAAGACGAATGTGGAGAGCAAAATTGTAGGAAACAAGGTTCTTTATTGTAAATCCAAAGACTTAATAATAATGTAGAGAAAAATATAAAGATGGAGAGAGAGAGTGGCTACAGGGTAATTTGTTGTAGAAATTTTGGAGTGAGACAGTAAAGCAATGTCATGCCTTTATATCGTAGTTTGGATTGAAGTCTTCTAAAGGGGTTAGGACCTTAAGTTATCTCTATCAAATAAAAGTGACAAGTTTTAAAATTTGAATTAGTATTAGATTATGTTAATGATAATAATAATAATGGATAGATATTAAAGTTTCCTACTAGAATTGAACAACTAGTTTTTTATGCATACTAATCAAATATTAGTTATAATCAAAATCCATTTAGATATTAGACTGTGATTTCTATCCCTATCAGGTATTTGTATATCTACACATGTATCCTAGTGAAAATAGAGTCTTGATATGATATATTAACTGAGTTGAATAGGTTAATATTAAATTATATAAATAAAATGCGAAAAGAGTTTGTTATCACCAAAATAAAATAATCCTATGTTTGAATTAAAAATGGTGGTCGAAACAGTAAAGTAAAGTTATAATTATATAAAATTTCTTTTGCATCTTGATTCTTCTGTTGATTCTATCTTAACTTGAACTTATCCAATTATCCTAATATATTAAATTAATTACCATCTATTAAAAGAGTCCAATATTGATATTGTAACTTTGTCTAAATTGTTAACCAATATTATTAATTAATTAGTTTTCTTAATTGGCTATAACTCATGTTTAACTTATTCAAATCAACTGTTTTAGAGTCCATAATTCGTTATTTATTGCGAGCTTCAAAAGGGTCAATATTGATAAGGTAATTATAACTCCTTCAATAATTAACTATTTGGCCCAATCAACTAAAAGTATAAAATTTAATACTTATCTTAACTTTGATCCCTCAACTATTAAGAAATATCATATAAATGTAAATTAACTATTAGGCATAACAAATTGATTTGCATAAAGACTTGACTAGACATGACATTCCTACTAATTGACGGATAAATTATATGCAACACAACTAAAAAATTCGGAAAAGCAAAAATCAAGTAAAGGAAAAACACTTATTATACTCACTGTACAATTGGGGCATAATCATAGAATGACGGGGGTCATTTGGTTGAAACCCCCAATTACCGTGAATAAAGAAAAAACTCTCTTTCCAATTACGTACTTTATTAGGAGTAATGACAAACTTCGGGCATACCCTAGGAGAACATGGGAAAGATAATAGTACCCTTTCTATTGCCTGACTTTATGTTTGTCCTCACGGGATGGTAAATAGATTGAATAAGTTTGGTAAAAGCTCTTTCCCCAAACCCGCAATATTCTATAGCAAAAACGACCCTGCCAATAGACCCACCCATTGAAGGAAGAAAGAATATTACTGAAAAATGATGAAAGAGAACTCCAAGCCTATATTCATCGAATGCTTGTGGATAACTATACTAGTTAGGACAAATCAATTCTATATAATCAAGGATACCAAAGCGATCCCAAATTTAAGTCAAGCCCTTCTTAGTAATATTAGTGAATATCGCCGAGGCTTCAAAAATCTCCTTATCACTAACATTAAGATCGTCTGAATCATTTGAAGGCGAGTAATCCTCTTCAACCCTATGTTGGAAACTACCCTTCAAATTAAAAAGTTTTGGGTTAGCCCTAGAGTTGGATGGATTTGTCACAGAATGAGGCAACAACTCAACATGTTAGGACCCTAGCATATCAAGGAAGTATTTTTAAGTTTGGAGCTTTCTACTTCTGAGTCATATGACATATTCTGGGAGTTGCTATGGGAAGACGTTTTGACAAAAGAATTACAAGAGCAAAATAAAGGTAAATTGATACGAAATATCCGAAGAAAAAATAGAATCGCCAAAGAAAGGGTGTAAGACATAAACAAAGAGTAATGAAGGAGCAAGAAAGGAACCTACAAAGGAGAAGAATGTATTTATAGGTTCTAATAGGGAGCGTGAGCTGTCGAGTTACGTACTTACCATCCAAATTTTCCAAACAATAACGGCCATGAAATATTAAAAGGTTCCTATTTAAGAATTCAAAAAAGAACGGACATAATTATATGTAACGATATGCACATAAAATGTGCACATGCTACTAAGGTCTATGCACTATTCGATATCGAATATATGATTCCTGTATCCAGAAACTTAAGTACCTCTGCTCTGACCACTTCCTTCATATTTGGATTCAACCTCCTTTGATTCTCTATGGTTGGTCGAAAATTCTCCTCCATGAGGATCTTATGCATACACAATAAAGGGCTGATCCCTTTGATATCTACCATGGTTCATTCAATCGCTATTTTATTCTCCCTGAGTACCGTAAGCAATTTTTCTTCTTCTACTTTGCTGATTGTGTTCAAGATAATTATCGGGAGTGTACAAGACTTCCCCAATTAGGCATATTTGAAATGTGGTGGCAGTTGCTTGAGTTCCAATTTAGGTGGCTGCTGTATGGATGATAGTGGCTTCATGGGTCCTATTCCAAGCTCCTCAAAATACCTTCTGTGTGTATAAGGTGGGTTGGTATCCAAAAATCTTGCACATGTTTCAATCTCCATGGAATTAGAATGTGTTGATTGAGAGTGTATAGTGCAAGCCTCGAAAGCATCTAATGGATTATGTAGTAAGAATGAATCTTTAACCACCATGTCAATCACGTCGATCTGGAAATAGCTATTTGACTCTGTAGGTAGCTTCATCGCCTTGGAGACATTAAAAGAAATCTACTCTTCTCCCAATCTCAGAATCATGTGTCTTTCATGAACATCAATCAGAGCCCTTCCGGTGGCCAAGAATGGTCTGTCCAATATCAATGGAATGTCATTGTCTTCTTCCATATCCAAAATGAAAAAGTCATTAAGGAATATGAATTTCTCCACTTTGATCAATGCGTCTATAATTATCCCTTGTAGATGTGTTAAGGATCTGTCAAGGATATGTCATCTAATTGCAATGTCACGGTGGTAACCTTGGCCTTTCCTTATCTGAGTTTCCTGAAAACAGACAGAGGTATTAAATTTATATTTACATCAAGGTAACATAAAGCTTTATCAAAATATACTTCACCACTAGTGCAAAGGACAGTTAAACTCCCTGGATCTTTCAATTTTGGTGAAAGCTTATTCTGGATTTTGGCTCTACTTTCCTCAGTTAGCATGATCGTCTCATGTTTCCCTAGCTTAGGTGTATTTGATAAGATGTCTTTCAAGAACTTTGCGTAGCTAGGCACTAGACTAGAGTTTCGGCAAATGGGATGCTTATGTGAAACTTCTTGAAAACATCGAGAAACTTTTTATATTGCTGCTCTATCTTCTGTTTCTTTAGCCTCTATGAAAATAGAATGGGAGGCTCATAGGGGTTGACGGTTTCTGTTGCTTTATTCCGTGATGTACCTGAGCCTTCCGTTGGAGTAGATTCCTTTATTTGCTCATTATGCTCCATAGTCTCTTCTACTGCAAGAGATCTTGTTTCTCTGTTTACACCCAACCTTTTGACATGTATTTCAGGTAGTTGCATTCCACTTCGAGTTGTAATTGTCTTAGCATGTTTTTTTGAGTTTATTTTCGTGTTACTTGGCAAACTAGATGGTGCTCTGCCAATCAAAGCAACTGCCATCCGTCCCATTCGAGTCTCCAGATTTTTTTATGGCGGCATTTTGATCATTAAGAGTGGTGTTGATTTTTCTTATGAACTGATTATTGGTTTCTATGCCCTGATTAGTCTTTTCCATGAGTTTTCCAAACATCTATTCCAGTTGAGGCTTTTTTCTTGCTAATGATACTGGCCCTGTGGCTTATTTTGATTTTGGCTGTTCCACAAGAAGTTAGGGTGCTTTTTCCAACTTGGATTATATGTTTTCCCAAATGAATTATTTTGCTGGCGTTGTCCCCATTGAGCAAAATCTGCCTGCTCTATTTCTTGTACCAAGATTGGACATTTCGCTGTTACATGTTCAATTCCACATTCCTCACAACTGGCTTTCTTTGTTCATGCTGCGTTAGCTGATTGTGACATGTTTTTCACCTTATGAAATAACGAGTCAATCTTTGCAGACAAGCAGAATATGCGTCCACTTCATAAAATTTCGGTGTCCTCTTCTGAACTGCTCATTCTGTGTCCACATAGCTGATGTAGTAACCATTGTCTCGAATAATTTCAGTGCTTCATAAATTGTTTTTTGTAGACAGTGATCCGTTAGATGAGGAGTCAACCATACTCTTGAAGGCTGGAAGTAATCCTGCGTAGAAGTATTGGACCTGGAGTCCCTTGCTAATCCCATAATGTGGACACTTTCGCAGCATAGTTTTGAACATATTCCAGGCTTCATCAAAGTTTTCTGAGTAGCCTTAACGAAAAACAAATATGTCATACTTGAGCTTTGCAATCTTGGCAGGCGGGAAGAACTTGGTGCAAAATTTCTTGGCTAGAACGTTCCATGTAGTGATGCAGGAGAATGGTTGAGAATCCAGCCATTCTATTGCCTTGTCGCGCAGTGTATGTGGGAACAGCCCCAATCTAATAGCATCGTCTGAAATACCTTGATATCTAAAGTGTTGACACATCTCCAAAAAGCAAGAGACACGCGTATGTGGGTTCTCTTCAACTCTTCCATAGAATTGATGTCCATTTTGAAACAGTTGTATCACGTTGGTCTTTAGTTGGAAGTTAGGCTGCCCAAACGGTAGATACACGATGCTTGACTGACTTTGAATTATCTGAGGGGTCATGAAATCTCCTACAATCATATTGCCTTCATCCGCTGTCCCTTCTTCATTGGCTCGAAAGATGAGACTGTTCTGTATATTAGCCATTTGTTGCTGTGCTTCCTTGGTTTCTCACTGCATTCGATGTAAAGTTCGTTTTATTTCTGGATCGGTTGGAATCAGGTCTCCTCCAGTATATTTTAGCGTGCAATTCTGCGAGAAAAATCAGCAATAACACTTAGATATTGGAATAATTCAAATAACAAAATGAAATGAAAATAAAATAAAAGAATTAAGAGATTAACGTTCAAATTATTGCTAATGTAAATAAGATTAAATGAATACTCAATCCCCGGCAATGGTGCCAAAAACTTATTTACGAAATTATTGTTCGATCAAAATACCGCAAGTTTACAGTTCGTTAACAAGTAATAAAGTGAAAAATTTGAGTCCGAATATCATCCTACAGAGATTGAATAGTTTAATTCTATCTACTTGATTTTAATTTAAACCTAAAAATAGAACAGGATTTGTGATAACATAACTTAACCATAATTTTGACCTAATAAGCAAATATGCAATAATTCGCGTGAATTTGAATGCAAAATGAATGTTAAATGCAATGTTGATGAAATTAATGAATAAGAATCGCATTAGGATCACGAATCTCCACGCAATGTCCAATTTTAACCCTAGTTTTACAAATTGACAACACGTTGGTATTTTGAAGAATCAATGCATCTAATTCTATCCAACAATCTCTCTCAAGTAAAGTTGAACCTATTTTTATATCTCACCAGCCTATATCTCTATGACGGGTGCAAATATACAAAAATACATGTGGTTTGTGAGCATTTACGGATTCACGCAAAGCATAGCAGTATATCTCTATCCCCTATCGAATCCTACGATGATTTATACCCTATCGAACTCATTTTCTTTCTTTCCAATGCATGAAAAAGTCACCAAATTTATATAATTACATGCACATAATTATTGAAATAATAAATTATATATAAATCATTCAAAACTCAAGCACGTGTTTCAATGTCAAATTTGCAAAAACTAGAAAGTAAAAATCACATCACGAAATTCATCAATCTCCTAGTACATGAAAACCGAGCCTAACATGAAGAAAAGAACAAAATACATAATAGTTGTAAGAAATGGCATCACCGGTAAATGAATTGGCGTGTAATCTCCTTAATCTTCGCGTTTCTCATCATGATTATGGCATGGAATCCTCTCCAATATGAGTTATTCTTCTTCCCCAGACGTTCTACCTTTAATTTGATGGTTTTAGGGTTTATATATCACCTCCCGACGAAGTTATACAAGAGTTTTGACGAAAATAGGAAACGGCAGAATTCGGTCCCAAAATTGGTCTATGTGACCACATAGCATATGCTATACGACATAGATGAAAATTCTTGGCACTTATATTCTTTGAAGCCATGCATGCGACCGCATGGGAGTTACTACTATGCGGTCGTGTAGTTGTACTAACTTCCAAAAATTGTCATTTTGGTCATTGCAACTTGTTCTCTTCAATTTTGACCTCGTTTCTTCATTTTTTCATTTCATATATTAATAGTGGCCTCCAATTGGTACTTGGCTCAATCAAATCCTCGATTACTCCTTCGGTTCATCTTTTGGATAATTTCACTTTAGTCTCTAAACTTTCATTTTTCTTCGTTTTGGTCATTTTCTTGTTTTTCTTCCGTTGATCATCCCGTATTATCCCTGAGTTGATAATCAGCTTGTTTGCGTTGTTGATTTGCGTTTTAGTTCCACTTTTGGTAATTCACACTTTAATCCCTGAACTTTCGTTTTCTTTCATTTTGGCCTTTTTTTTGCATTTTTTCTCTTGAATTCCGTCACATCCATCAAGATAATCCTATAAAACAAGATTTAATAGGATTAATCCATATTCCACTATATTTATCAAGAAATAGTCATGCTTTGTGATTCAAATAACTGTGTAAAAACACACTTATCAGTTAGAATTACAATTTCATGTGTCGCAATGGGCCATAACTACAACTGCATGTCATAGTTGGAAGGCGTTTGGAAATCGTGAAAGTTTGTTTGTATCTTTTAATAATCTTTGACTATTATTCCGTGGATGTATTTATATGTTCTTTGTGAAAGGCATAAAATTCATATTAAAAGTTATATGTAACCATCAACTTTAAAGCATATATGATCAGTGATTTTATACAATTAAATGATTGTACCATTTATATTGTTTCCAAAACTGTCAAATGTGACGTAAGTGACATTAAATTGTGACATTTGTACTAATTAGATTTCTATTCATCTGACATGCAAAATTGTGGCTTTATAATCCGATGTATTTAAAAAAAAAAAAAAAAAAAAAAAAATTTTTAAATAAAATTTTTTTTTTTTTTTTTTTTTTTTTAAAAATTTTTTTTTTTTTTTTTTTTTTTTTAAAAAAAAAAAAAAAAAAAAAAAAATTTTATTTAAAAATTTTTTTTTTTTTTTTTTTTTTTTTAAAAAAAAAAAAAAAAAAAAAGCAATTTTTACATCAATAATTTATGCATGCAGTCTCTATGGCCTCTCATAATGATGGTGAAGAATGAGAGAAACAAGTATTTATCTCTAAAGGAGATGTATTCAATTGAAATTTTTAATTACTTTTTTAGCCTTGAAAAATTTAGGAGTATTCAATTGAGACTCTTTAGAAGTCACGGTGTAATCAATTGAGATTTTTATAAATTTTTAAAAAGTTTCTAAAAGTTATGGTGTATTCAATTAAAATTTTTTAGAAGTCTATATAAGTCTTGGGGTATTCAAATTTTAATAGTTTCTAACTTTTAAGCAAAAAATACTTATATAAAGTTATAAAATTTATCTCTTATTAATCACGAGATTTTGGGAGACTTTCACAAATTTTTTTTTTCCAATATTTTTTTACTTTAACCTTTCATGGACATGTATCATTAAAATAATTTTTTTTTACCATTGATTATATTCCATTTATCTTTTTTTCTCTCTCTTGTTATTTATCTCTATTTTTTATGAAAAAATTAAATTGAATTCTTGTAGTTTTTTTTCTTTTTTTTTTTCATTCATTTTTTATGAAAAATATCTATTTTTATTAAATTATAAAATTTTATATGAAAAATATCTATATGTGTGTGTGTGTGTGTGTAATTTTGATTATTATTTATTTAATTTAGATCTTGATTTTATTTTATTTTTTAATTATATGGGAAGAAGAAGGGGAAAGAAAAGGGAAATTGTGAAAATTAACACCTCGTATCTGAGAATTTTAAACCAAATTTACGTGAATTCTATTTCAAATGAAAGTTTCTAAAAGTGTTTTGAATTCCATTAAAGTCTATAAAAATTCTAAAATGAAAATTTACAGAAGTTTACGAAAGATTTCCACTAATTTTATACACATTTACAAAAGATTTACAAAATTCACAAAAGTCATCACTTTAAAAAAGTTTTCAAAAGTTTCAATTGAATACACCTTCCTCTAAATAAATATGGAAGCCGAAAGAATTCCATTTTATAAAATTTGAATTTCAAAAATAAAAATCAAACATACATTGCCAAAACTAACAAAACTGGGGACCAAAAAAAAAAAATTATAAAAAATACCTAATTTTTTTAATGAAAACTTAAAAGCATAATTTCCTCCAATTTCACTTTTTATATTGGGTGAGAGAGAGAATGAATAACATCTTGAGTGTTGGGCTGATGCTTTCATTCTCACTGAAAAGTCCCTAAAATTATTTTGAACACTTTAATATTCTCACACGACCAGTGAGTCTGAAGCATCACATCCTAATTTATTTACAATATTCCATTGACAGCTCGGCCAACTGGTCGAGAGAGGGCGTGCGTAGTCACGAAGTCTAGATCATATCGGAAAAAATAACAAGTCTTAACAATAATAATTTCATCACTTACTAACAATACGATACCAAACAAATTAAACCACAGAATTCGCAACAACGAAGGCTCGACCGGTCCATATCATCTTGTGCTTCGGCTTCCCCTGTTTTCACCGCACATCTCCATTCCCACAACTTTTTTTTCTTTCATTGGTTTACCAACTGGGATCTTATTTCACTTCTTAAGATTCAATTTTTTCTTCGTGTTCCGGTTTATAGAGGATGGTAAGGCACATAGCCGAGCGTTTCCCTCAAGTTGGAAACCACATCATTGCACTTGATTAGAAGATTAAGCATCTGTTGTGCAATATCATTATTTGTTGTTGGGATGATGGGTATACGTGGAGCATTAAACGATGCAGATACTTGCTCAGAAAATGGCATATTACTCCACAAATTTTGAAACTGATTAGAAGTCAAAGGATTGGCATTGGCAGAATGAGAAACAACCTTCGCAAAATTCTTACTACTAAGATCGACTGAATGTGTAGAAGCAGCAACCTCGGGAAAAGTAGGAATGACATTGGTGTTCTCATTCACGCTCAACTGCGTCTCATCCCCGCCTAATACGAACTTGACGCGCGTGCTTCTACCATTGCCCCCTTCATCGCCTGAGGACTTCTTCAGACAAGACTTGAGCTGGGCAGGCGGTCGCTGATTCAGCGGCAAAGAAAGTTTAGCGGCCACCCTCTGCTCAGCTACATAATCTTTAGGTTGTTGGGAGGCCCCAGTTAATAAGTCGTCCTTCTGAACCTTGGCCTGTTCCGATTCTTGACCCTCGACTTCCATTTCCCGGATATAGCATCTCACGTTTGTATTCCCAAATAAATTGTTACTTCCTGAAGCAAACTTCAAGGCAGCTTGAGCATGAACCTTGGACTGGTAGACAAGACGGCACGTATATGTCTTCCAGAAAACTCGAGTACCAGAGTGATCCAATGGACCAAAACGAGCAAACTTTGCTTTCAGTTCTGCAATTGAAGGAAGTGCTCCTCCTTGTGGAAACTTCATAACAAGCATTGTACGACTCGCAGCTCTCGTTGGCTGCTGCTCTATCCTCTTGCTAGATTCCAATTTAATTGCTTTTTTGGATGTTAGTGATACAATTTTCACACCCGTTTCTTTTACATCCCCCCGTTGGATGTCTATAGCCTTTCGGGCAGCCTTCTTCTCCGCTGCCAATGATTTCACATCATCAAATCTCTTGTTTTTCTTTGAAGCAATTTCTTCAAGACGATCAGATGGATCACGTTTCTTCCCAACTTTGCCCGGATCATCATGCCTGACCAGAGGTTTAACAGGCTTCACAGTTGAAATCTCTTTGATATTCCCTGTAGCAGGTAATTTACTTGTACGAGCTTCATTTAAATCGTTCTCTGCTGGAGCTGACAAGACCAAGCTCTTCTGGTAGACGAGATATCGGAATTTTGATAAAACCTGCTTTATAATAGCTGGACTCCTCCTTTCTATGCCATGGAAGGGGTTGAGAGCAAGAGCTTGCAAATCTTTCAGTAGAACTGCAAGTTCAAACTCTGCATCCCCAATCCCAACAGCCTGCCATGTTTCCATCGAAGGAAGCTGAGACTTTTCACCCAGAGAATCTTGAGAAGATGTTCCAGAAGCTCTCATGAGTGCTTCTCCGCTGTTATCGACAACTCCAGTTATCTGCACATGGTTAACCCTAATGCCCATTTCATTCTTTTTCTTCTTGTTGTTCTTCTTCTTCTCTGTCAGAACTGTATTCTCGGTGCTTATTTCCCCAGCAGGACGCTTGTGAACCTTTGCTTTCTTAGCTCCATTGTCAAAAAGCTTCTTGGGACCTACACCATAAGTCCACTTAGTACCAAACAGAGAAGATTAGTATGCAAAAATAGAGAGAGAAAAAGATGCACACCACTGCAAACGTCCTGAAGTTTCTTTTCTTGTAAATCTTCAGCAGAAAACTGATGACTGATAGGTCGGTCAAGGCCTTCAGAAACTCCGGGCTCGGGAGTCTGATGAACATGCTCAGATATGCCAGAATGAACTTTCCCAGAAACATGCAACCCATCTTCCGAAAGAGGCTGACTAGAGGAGCCTACTTGCGTCAAGCTTGCTTTTTTAGCCTTAAACTCATTTGGTGTGTCTCGGCGTTTAAATAAATACTTTTCTTTCTCAATTTGGTCCTTTATTCTAACAGGTTTTGCAGAGCTTTTCTCCTTACCAAGAGCTTCTGCAATGACAAGTCGGCCACTCAAAGGATCTGCAAGATGACACAAAATTACAAAAATGATAAGAGAGAAACCATAAATAGCATAAAATTAAGATTGACAACTAACGAAAAACAAGCTGAGAGAAATGGCAGCAAACAAAAAGAGTTCCAAGAGCCAGGGAAGGAGTTGATGAAGCACATTTGAAAGAAAATAAAAAAGATACCAAGTAAAATTTCTATGGCATGCCATACGTGAAGGTAAATAGTTAAATAATAAAAGGCGATGAAGCTTTCCATCAAAATCCCCCTCACAACATTTGAAGCGAGATCAACGGACCATTAATAGTCCCTTGAGTACACCAAAAATTTTCCATCTATTTCTTCTAGATGATATATGAGAAGAGACAAGTCAAAACATGAAGACAAAACTCATCCAACAACTATGAAAAAATAGTTTTGACCTATTACTTTTACAAATAATCATATTAGCCTAGCGTATCCCCCTGCCCGCAACGTGCACAAGGTCAATTGACCAAAGGCGCGAAATATTAAGAGCAATCTTAATTACGCCATTTGAAGACTCCACAAAATTAAATTTAGATGCATCTCAATAATTGTCTGTGCAATAACATTATATTAAGATAACAACTGAAGCTAAAGAAGAGGTGAACAAGTGGCAGCAAGCAATATCAGGTGCAAGTGCAAGATTTGGGGGAAGTGTTGATGGAGTATATCTTCATGAACAACTAAAATAATAACAAATGAAAATTTTATTGTATGCCACACAAGCAGGTAAATGGTTAAAAAAAAAAAAAAAAATTTAAAAAGTTGTGAGCTCCGTGAAGCAATTGTTGGAGATATTTGCCTGTTCCATTAATTTCATCCCCCCGATGGAGCCCCTCCCCAAATATCCAAATCCACCATCCAACCACATCACCCAACCACCACCTACCCTTGTCAACGTTGGCAATGGCAAACCCTAAACCATCGGCCTCACACCACATATCAACCCACACACACAATTGATGGCCCTAGGTGAAAACCCTAGCACCGCCACACGAACCGGTGACACGACTGAAGGCACGAAATATTGGGATGATGCGGAGACCCTAGGTGCTGAAGAAACTAGTGGAAGGAAGAGAAAAATGGTAGAGAGATGGATCAATCTGGGATATAAACCTAGATTCCTCAAGATCCGGCCACCATTTTGGCATACAGGCCCGAATGGTGGGTTGGGCAGGTCATTCCGATATGGGGGACTGTGGCGAGAAGCATGCACCACCGTGTAAGCCACGCCGACGCTAGAAAATTGAAAAATTCTTCCAACTAATTCCAGATCCCCCAGGATGCTTGTCTTACCATTAGATGCACTGTTTACACACAATCAGGGAAAAAAGTTAGTGGATGCATGCCGTATGGTATTCAATCATTGTTTTTGAGTAGAGACGAAGGAGTTTGCTGTGTCTGTTAACCATTCTAGCACAGTTAGGATGGCAGAGTGGGATCCATAGGTCACTCAAAGGAGATTGAGGAGGATATATTCTAATCATTTCCCTATTCTAATCATTGCGTTGTCTGCTTCTATGCTTTGAAACTGTATCTGGATTTAAGATTGTAGGATTGCGCAGTTGTCTATGACATATATTAGGCCCCCCTTAAGAGCACAATTTAAAAGTATAAATATTTGGAACGGTATTGCAGAAAAGATGGGGAGGAGGTTAGCAGATTGGAAGCTTATGTACCTCTCAAAGAGAGACCGTCTTACCCTTATTAAGTCCACCCTATTGAATCTCCCTACTCATATCTGGTCATTGTTTTCTATTCCTATTTTAGTGGCGAAAAGATTAGAGGAGATTCAAAGGTGTTTCCTTCGGGAGGATTAGGGTAAGAGAGAAAACTACACTTGGTAAATTCAGGTGCAGTTTGTTCTCCCATGAGGATAGGGAGCCTCGAATTGAGGAGCCTTGCATTGTTTAACAAGGCTTTATTGGATAAGTGATTATGGCGATGCGAAGTGGAGAGAGAGTTTCTGGAGAGAAATTCTAGAAGCAAAATATGATATTATGAAGGGGGATAGTGCTCAGTCGAGGTTCTTGGTTCTTATAGGTGAGTTTGTGGAGGTTTATCCGACGAGGGTAGAGACTTTCGAGATAGATTGATGTTTGTGGTGGGGAATGGAAATACTATCCATTTTTTGGAAGATTGTTGGTGTGGAAATTGACCGTTAAGAATGGGATTTCCTTCTCTGTATTGTATTTCTTTGATGCCATATACTATGACAGATGATGTCTTAGATATACATAATGGGAATCTCAGCTAGAACATTGTTTTTGGGCGGGGTCTGAGGACTAGAAATTAGATGATTATGCACTCTTCTGACTTCTTTATATGAGGTGCATATCAGGATATGAGATGGTAATCGTAGCAAGTGAAGGTAATCACTTACTTTAGATCCTTATTAGGACTTGTGAAGAGCTCATTTTACTTGGAAGATGGTATGTTGCCTCCTTGGGTGACTTTTTTACTATGGACGGTTGTGAGAGGACAGGTGTTAACAGTGGATAACCTTCGAATAAGTGGTTTTTATGTAGCAGAGTGGTGTGATATGTGTAGGAGGAATGAGGAGTTAATTAACCACTTGTTCCTTCATTGTGACGGTGCTCGTCTACCGTGGAATGATATTCTAACTTCTCAACACATGAATTGAGTGTTACCATGGCGTATGGAAGATGCATTAAAGGCATGGAGAAAACGTCGTAATAAGGATAGCAAGTTTCTTTGGGACCTTATTCCAGAATGCATCGCATGGGGGGTGTGGAGGGAGAGAAATAGCCGTTATTTTGATGATCATACACGAATAATAGAGTAGATTAGAGAATTGTTTTATTTGACATAATATATTTGGTTTAATGCTGCGACTACAACTCGTATAAACAGGCTGCCCAATTTTATATTGTTTCTTTCTTGTGTAAATTGATAATACACTTCCTGTATATTATTCGTGATTAATAAAATATTTGATTACCTATCAATAAAAAGTTAAATACTCAAAGAGAAATTTTCCCATCAAAAGGTGGTCTCCTCAACATTTATGTCAGACCAACTAAAGACAAAATTAATAGCTCCTAAAGCCACCAACAATCTTCCATGCTGTTCCTTCTAGATGATACGTGAGGAGATAAGTCAAGAGAGAATGACAACTTATTTGACAACTCTGAATAAATCTCATTTCAACCCCTTTTACGTAAATACATTTACAACATACATGTTAGCCGACTGTGTTGCCCCACCCCCTGATTTATTAGAAGTCAAATTTTAGTTTCAATATGATTAAAGGACTTCCTTGAAAGCAATCATTAGCTTGCAATTGTAGTCAGTCAAAAGACAACTTTTTGTTGTCATTAACTGTTTAAAATATCAATTAAATAAGATTATGAACAAATAAAGTAGAAGCATTATTTTTCTAGTCAACAATAATGGTTTTTAAAGCCTTATAAATTTAGATGGTTCTCAACTAAAATGAATTTCCTAGGACAAGTTTATAAGAGAGTAGGGGTGTAAGCGGTCCGATTTTACCAATTTTTGACAGATTTTCAAACCAAACCGTTTAAAACGGTTTGACAAAAATCCAAATCCAAACCAAATCATTTTGAACGGTTTGAAAAAACTCAAACCTAAACCTAACGGTTTGGTCCGGTTTTAAACCGCCGATTTTGTCATATATTTTTTTGCCCGTCTACTTTTATGTCATTAATTCATTGAATTTAATATATATTTATATCTTACTGGTAATAAATCTAAAACAAACTAAGCCCCTGTTTGAACCAAATTTTTGGGACAAAAAAATGAAAATTTGGACCGTTATTCCATAAGTCCAGCCGTTTTTGTTGACCTGCTATTTCATGTGTGGGACCCAGCCTCCTCTCCAATAGTCAATTTTCTCATTATGATGATATGGAAAATATGGCTCAAATAGGGGCTAAATATATCTACTATAAATTTAAATAACAACTAAATTAGAGTGAAATCACAATAAATTAAAACATAATTTTTTTTCATTTTTGTTCACATTTTTTAGGCTAATAACGATACAATAACGTTACAATAGAAGTCTATTAAACTAGATATAAGGTCCAAAAAACATAATGATGTCCAACAAGATCTCGTGATCATCATATCTGAAAAAAAAATGATACTGATTAAACAAAGAGAATTACACAAGTTTACGTTTGTATGATGTTACGAAACACATTTAATTTCAAATTCTTATCTTAGTTTGTTCCAAAAAATTATTGATCTGAAACTTTATTTGTAGCAAATATTATTATCGAAGGTCTAGGATCTCTTTATCTCCGATTTGGTATAATGGACTTCAATTTAACTTTGAAGATGCGTGAAAAATCTAAAAAAGAAGTGTGTGGTGCCGATGACTCAAAACTATGTTGGGTGTCGACTGGAGTTCATCTAAATTTTGAAGAGGAAATAGGCTTTTGAAAGATTATGTTAGTCTGAAATTATTAAATATATATTAGGATTATTGGATGATGATGACGATGACGATGATGATAATAATATATCTGTATTAGAAAATTAGGAATTGACAAAAATATTTACAAATGACAAAACTATTGAATTTTATATATTTGGATGAATTCTCAAAAAAATTCATTTTTTTATTTTTATATATTTTTTCACCGGTCCAGTTTGGTTTTAAACCGCAATTAAAATTCTCAAACCTAAACCAAACCATTTTAACCTGTTTGGTTTGGGTCAAAACCATTTCTTTGACCGGGTCCACGTGACACCAAATCGACGGTTTCTAAAATGCGGTTTCGGTTCGATCTTCCGGTTTTTGCTTACAACCCTATAAGAGAGTAGTATTAACAAAAAGATAAGTCCAGAAGAAAGTACTTAAAATACTTTACCCATGTATCAATGATAACATTCTATAAATGATTTTATTCTCATAAATTCGTTTTCTGGACATCGAGTAATTTATTTTCATAGCATGAATTACTTTTCAGCTTAATATGGTGAAATCCGACTCCTAACAAGTGATTATATTCAGAAGGAAGGCGTTAGCAGCATAGAGCAATTATAGAAATATTATGGAAAATAATATTCCCTTATACATCATGACTCACGAGGTGTAAGAAAGAAATTGAATTTTTCTACAATATTCTAGTAAGATGAACCTTCTCAATTTCTTAACATTTTCTCCAAATATTATGTTTTCCCAAACGTCGTTTGTTCTTAGAATTGCTTAATCATATCAAACATTAACCAGATCAAAGCTAAAATATTATTGGCTTCATACCATGAATTACATCTTCAGAAGAGCATACGGCCAAAATGCATTTGGGATTTTTAAACCTTTGTTTCCTTATTATTCATCACAAAATTGTTATTACAAGTCTCCATAAACATATCATGTTGAGAAAGGACCTTCCAACTTTACATGTCAGAAAAGCTCTTACATTAACTTAGAAGGTGCATAAGGAGTCCTAATATTCTTGGAACCTAGCTCAAATTATTTGTTTGACAGCAAAAACTGGTAGACCGTCGACAGGCCCTTCTCTACAAGATCAAGAAGTAAGGAGACAAATAGATTCTTCCTTGCTCGGTCAACAAAAATACTGTTAACCAGTTAATGTAAAAGGACTTTTAGAGTCAAAGCCCACACTAAACGAGCCCAAGCTGAATTAACCTTACTGTCCGACCTGCTGTAAGGATTGATCCCCTTAAGCTTATCCAGTTTCACGGTTCTCAAACGAATCACATTTGCAGTAGAAATGAATTAGAGAAATACAAAAAAGCCATATTATCAAGTTTATGATATAATTAGCAACTGTCACCTTTTAATTTCTTTAAGAACGCAAAAAATTATTCTATAGAAGCCGTGCATCACCAAATTGAACACCACGAAGCCAAATTCACCTGCTTTGCAACACTTAGCAAGATCAACCACACAATCATCTATTTCTTATTCAAATATCAATCATCGCTATAGCCAAATAACATAGAAGCAACTCTGTATCATAGTCTTGCCATGTTCTAGACAGACATCACAAAATGTCACTCCAAATGGTGGTGCTATCATAAACATCTATTAGTTAATAGATACAAAAAGGCATATTTAAATGGTCCCAATCATGAAAAATTTTAAACAAAATGAAGGGAAGAATTTCCACTGCTTGGCACCTCAAATATCGGTCCCAGATAACCTACTACTACGATGAAGCAATCCCAAATAAAATTAAAGGGAACTACTCAGACACATTAACTTTCTATGTTCACGTAATTAAGTTGCACTTGCAGGAAGATTAGCGGAGTGAAACATACAACAAAAACACCACCAAATCTTCACAACCAAAAAATAAAAAAAAAAAATAAAAAAAAGCCTAATAAACAATACCTTTAGATGAATCCATAACAGGTGGCTTTGTGGGCCGAGCAGGGCGCACAAACTCAGTACCAAAGGCTTGTGCATACGTCTCATCATACTCCTCAAACAGGGCCTTCCTGAACCCTAAAACCGTGGCCTTGTTCTTGATAAAATCTAGCATCCAGTATTTATCTGACAAGGGTTTCAAGGCTAGCTGCTGAACGAAAGTGAGCATCTCCCGGGGAAGAAAACGCTCTCGTGCTTTTTCAATCTGACTCGTAGGATAAACTGCGCCCGGTTCATAACCAGCTACATCTGCAATAAAGTATCCCTCAACACCAGTGGGCCAAAGATTAAACTTGTTTCGACATCTGCAGGCCAGACCCAAACCCCTTCTTCGAGATACCTCATCCACAGCTTCATCCACTGCCTTTGAAAATGACCGTGAAAGTGTTTGCCGAGATTTTTCCGCAAAATTCTTCTCAAATGGTATTAGTTCAGCTGGTTCAAACCACCCATAGCTGCCATCCCCGAAAAATGCCACCAACACATGGCCCTCATGTTTGGTTCTCCTAACAGAAGGCGTAGCAAAGGCTTCATTGTATATAAATCCAGGCCACCACGGGTGTGATTTTACTTTGCCCCACACCATGTCACCAACTTGGTAGCCATTGCCGACTTCTTCACCTTTTCCCTTCGTGACAAACTCGTCAAGTCCCAAGAGCGACGAATCATGATCTCCTGCCGTACCAGTATGTATCTTATTCTTATCGTCCCAAGAATCAGTCGGAATAGAAAAACTATCCTGATTCTCCGAAACTCCATACGAATCAACAGATTTATTTTCTTCATTTTTCACCTCGGTAACTCGAGATTCAATCAAAACATCCTCACTCGCCTCAGAAAACATAGCTTGCTCTGATTTAACCGCACTTTCACCAGAAACCCTAGCTTCTTCCGAAGGGCCCTCTTGATTCAAGCCCAAATCTCCTCCGCCTAAAGAGACACTGCTACCACTGGTGAAACGGACGTTGGGTTCATCTTTAATAGCGTCTTCGTTTTTTCCGTCCGACGAACCTTTTTTGCTACTGCTTATCATGGATATCATCTCATTCCAATTCAAGTCGAAACCCTAAATTTCGAAGAGCGATAAAGAAAAATAATTTCGATTCAGAGAAGATATAAGATTGAAATTGATGAAAATTCTAGGGAACTCTGGAAATTCGAAACGGGAGAGAGACAGTTTTATGTAAGATGGAAATGGACAGATCAAGGCTCGTACTCGAAGTGAGTATATGCTTCCGGTAGATCCTTACTCTATTCCCTTGTAGGATTCAGGAATAGTCGGGTCGTAGCTCAGTAACTGGAATCAATAAAAAGACATCAATTCAAATCCTGAATTTTCGAATTGAGAGAGATATTGAGAGAGATCAAGAATTCTTGGAGATTTGTGAGAATTGATTATGTTAAGAATGTGTTTGCTCAAATTATTTTAAGTGTGCGCTTAATCCATTCAATAGCAATTCGTTATTTCAATTGTAGAAATAGGACAACAATCTGCCCATAACCTATCACTGCAAAGAGAGAATTACAGAAGTAGTCAAGCGTTAATTTCCTAACCATAGTCAGTGATAACTGTCACATTACACTTCTGTATGAACACCCCAGCTGCTAGCCCGAATAAGTCCTTCCCTTATTGCAAGTTGAAATAATTTTGAAATGACAAAAAGTAATTATTTTATTACAACTGAAGGCCTAATAAGCTTCAATAGAGGCACTATTGAGTGGCATCACCAACTTCGTGCTCCGTGCTGACATTTCAATCCCCATCGAGTTTAGCAAGCATTTAATGTGATGAAATGAGTTTTCTAGATAGATCGTTTGAAGAAATGTGTTGTTTGACGTAATGCTCGTGTTGACTATTGAAATCGAATCAATAAATTTATCTTACCTAATCATGAGTTTCGCCTCTTAAACTTACTAATTTTGATACTTAAGCTACAGTAAGAGGAAAAAAGACTATTTGAGAGGGAGATGTTGAATTTGCATGTCTTTTCTGCTTTTAAATGGGAGTATCTCTAGATTTTCCTTCAGGTTTTGGGGACAATTGGTTTTTTAAGGAAAAATGACATATGGCGGCATCTTATGGGTTGTCCTGTAACTGATTCTGTTATTGCATCATGTTTCATTTATTAGTTTACCTATCGTGCATTCATTGACTTAGGAGTCATGTTTTAAATATTTGTCAACGTTTACCTCTATAAAGATTTTTAGCCAACTTGAAAGAGGGAATGACTCGCTTGTTGCAGAAGCTTTCTTGAAAGATCTTCAAATCGGTGATTTTCGGGCTCAGTCCAACGCACCTTTTTCAACCAACAACCAGTCCAATATGCTCCAAATCACAACCAATTGATTCACCTCGATTGCTATTCAATTTTACCCACGTAGGACAAGAAAAGATGATGATTTGTGACCACAAAGATTAGGAGAAGACACCACAAAGGTATACTATGAAGAAACCACCAATTGCACACATTATACAAGCGTTCTGAACACTTCTGAAGACCTTTTTTCTCACACAAAGGGGCGCAGCAGGGATTCTCTTTTTCTTCTCTCAAAATCACACAATATATCATGAGAAAGTGGCTAGGGTTATAGCTATATATATACTCTAGGGTTAGGCTTTAAGTTGGATTATTAAAGGGGTAAACGGGCCAACATTCAAGTCATCCATAAGGGAATACAATTGGGCCGGGTGTAACTCATGAATTTGATTGTTGGACTTATTTCATTCATCAACCTATCTCTATATAATAATATTAACCCACATTAATATCATAGCCCAAAATTTATTGGGTATCAAAAACTCAACAAATCTCCACGTTGATACCCAATAAATCTGCAAGCAATCAAAACGCAAAATTAGCACTTGTATAATCAATATAGCCAATAAAATTGGATCACAGACCTTACCTCGTGTTTCCAACTTGAAACACATATCATATCTGCTCCATGTACTCACTGGGGCTAAGGTAAAAAACACTCAAGTAGAAGCAAATATTTAACAGTAAACAATCAAGAGCAAATCGAAGTGCGATGACGATATAATATAGGATAACACACACAGATCTTTTCAAAAATACGTTCACATAGAATTAAAGATTAGCACCAAGTCAATCAAACCACGGTCAACCACATATGCAACACATGCATGAATGACCCTAAGAAAAGATCTCACCACACTTATCCTAGCTAAATCCGTGTTGCTCACACCTCGAGAATACATATCTCCTCTCATCGCCCACAAAGCTCACTAGACAGATCACTCAACTCATGTTTAACTGGCAAATCATAATAGATCCTAAGTCCACGGGATAATCCTCTATCTCCACATTACTTCTTCCAACTTACGTGGATAATGGGTCTCCACCTAACAGAAGTGATAGAAGTGCCCCTCTCACACTCTACCTGATTAGGATCTCTTTCCAGATAAAATATTCTAGACATTTAATCACATCTCCACTCGTGATCCAAATGTCAGACTCCACATCCCCGGTACAAACCACCATGTACCCCTAGGCATCTGTACTCCACCTTACCAAAAGGCAAACAACACACTGCTAATGCATCCTAACCCACTATGCATGCAAGCAATTACACCATGTAATCCTAATGTCTCAAATTCATGCAATTACACACATCAAACAAGTTGAAAGTGTAACATCAATATTGCAACAAAATTAAGTAACCACATACATGCAGAAAGGATTACACACAAATACAATACAGTAACCAGGTTTATTCTCCCAATAAACCTCACTAGAATCACTACTCGACCCTAAAGTCACATTCGCCTCGTCTCTATTCTCATCTTTCCTTTTATTATCATCTTAAAACAATCTCTTTCAACTATGCACAAATTTTACCATGGTTAAAACATATTTTATTTTTCGCACTTACCTTAGACCTATACATGCTAACAATACCAAATAATGACCACAAGCAAAGTACTGACACATAAATCACATAGAACAGTCAAGTAAATTTTCCTGGTGACAAATTCACATAGAATTTAAGGTAATTAACATGTAATTCCTAGGTCTAGCAACAAGCAATGGTTACCTCAAATCTAACGTCTCCCCACACGATGACTTCTAACGCGAAAAATAAATAATTAACATACACATTAATTTTAACTGCAATAATAAAAAGCAAAGAATACGATACCGAGCGGACCACGTCTAAAGGTCCGTAAATATCGAAAGACGCGAATTCACTACTTTAGGATCGTCACTGTTCGTCCTAAAGTCAACAGCAACCACAGCAACACGAAAACAGCACCCGACACCCGAACATCCAAGGGCAAAATCGTCCAACTTTCATCGTATTGCTCCAAACTGAAAATTGAAAACACTGCAGGGTCCGTCTCATCTCCGACAACATTCTGTCTTTTGGAACCCTCGTCGGAATCTCTCTCACACCTCCACGCGTCGGTGCCATATTCCTCACGCGCCACCCTTCTTGAACCATCTCAGTCTGCATAGTCCAATGGTGGTGTTCGTTTCTCCAAATTATATATGGTTTCACTAGAAACGCCAAAACAAATTCAGTAGAAAATTGAAAAACTGGATAGTTTCTGGCTCTGATTTTTAAATCCGTTTCTGACCACTTCCAGCCCGTTTTTAGCCCCAAAAATCACAAATTTATCAACAACACAAGCTCTGATACCAATTGTTGCGGAAGTTTTCTTGAAAGATCTTCAAATCGGTGATTTTCGGGCTCAGTCCAACGCACCTTTCTCAACCAACAACCAGTCCAATCGGCTCCAAACCACAACCAATTGATTCACATCGGTTGCTATTCAATCTTACCCATGTAGGACAAGAAAAGATGATGATTTGTGGTCACAAAGGTTAGAAGAAGACACCACAAAGATATACTATGAAGGAACCACCAATTGCACACGTTATACAAGCGTTCTGGACACTTTTGGAGACCTTTTTTCTCACACAAATGGGGGGCAGCCGGGATTCTCTTTTTCTTCTCTCAAAATCACATAATACATCATGAGAAAGTGGCTAGGGTTATAACCATATATATACTCTAGGGTTAGGTCTTAAGTTGGACCATTAAAGGGGTAAATGGGCCGAGATTCAAGTCATTCATAAGGAAATACAATTGGGCAGAGTGTAACTCATGCACTTGATTGTTGGACTTATTTCATTCATTGGCCTATCCCTATGAAATAATATTAACCCACGTTAACATCATAGCCCGAAATTTATTGGGTATCAAAAACCCAACATCGCTTATGCTATGTGAGCCCCTTATATTATTGCCCTCTCGTTTTACTTATGGTTCGTCAGGTATGAGCTCATAGAATTGAATATTTGATTCAACAAATAGTCCCTAAAATCAATTTCATTATTCATATTAAATCTAGTACTAATCATATATTTATTAATGCAAGCTTATTATTACTTGCGCATTTTTTTTTTTTGTTGTTGTGGCTTACAGGGGCTATATTGAAGGAACACGCTATGATTGTTGCAGTTTTTGCATGCATTACAAGACTTTTTGCGCCTTTTAAGGTTAGTGGCATGTGCAAATTTATGAAAATGTTAGTTACAATTAATCGTATATGTTCGTTTTTGAATACTTAAATAGACGTCCTTTAATATTCAAAGGCCTTGATTGCCCGAGTACTTTGAATGTTTGTTTGAGTACGTAGTTTGGTGGCTTACACTCCTTTTTAGAACCTATCAACACTCTTTTCCCTTTTGTGTGTTTCTTTCTTGCTTCTTCTTCAGTACTTCTTTGTTTATGTGTGCCTAACACCCTTTCTTTAGCAATTCCATCTTTCAATTTGAAAAGTTTCTTCGCATTATTCCTTTATTTTGCTCTTGAGATTCTTTTGTTAGAATGTCTTCACAAAATGGCTCTTTGAATATGCTACGTGATTTGGAAGTACAAAGCTCTAGACTTAGGGATACCTCCCCTGACTTGTCCTTTTCTTTCGAGAGATCCTATTGTGCTGAGGTATTACCTCATTCTGTAATGAATTCACCCAGTTCTGGGGCTAATCCAAAACTTTTCAAAATTGAGTACAGTTAATATAGGGTTGTGAGGGTCGCAAGCCTTCGAAAGATTTGGATGACCTTAATGTTAGTGATAGAGAGGTTTATGAAGGCTTAGGGATATTCACGAATATTACTGCGAAGGACTTGAGTGGAATTGGGACCATTTGGTGTCCCTAACGACGTAGAATTGATTTGTCCCCAACATTTGCGGATTGCTTTCCTTATGGCTGTATAGTTATTCACAAACATTCGATGAATATGAGGCTTAGAATTCTACTCAAACAATTTTCGCAAACATAAGGGATCATTGACAAAAAATAGGTTAAGTGAAGTATGAATATCGTTCCATGAGAAATTATTGTAATGAATGTATTGAATTTCAAAATTCACTTATTGATCTCTATTTCCAATTTTCAACTTAAGTAAGTTAGTGTTTTACAAGTGTTCATGATAATCGATAATCTATTAATATCTAATATTACTTTTCAAGATATATTAAATATATCATAAGCATGACCCGATCCTATTTCTTGTCTAAATTCATATGTAAAGAAAGCATTCAATCACACGATTATCACACAATTAAGC